AGTTAATTGTTTTAACGCCTTTTAAATGTTGAAAAATGTAATTAAAACTAAAAAATAATGAATATAAAAAATGATTGTGTGACATCAATCTTTTTATATATGAATTTCCTACTGTTTGCATTTTATAGACGTCGTCGCGCCTCACTAATGCCGCCGCCGCTTGCATTATTAAGTTTGTAATAGTTTTTAACTGGCGTTTTTAAATAGACGTCGCCACAATGGCGCTATGTGGCGTTTATCTATCTTAAAAGCAATAAAGTATCTAATTTGATTATTAATTTTTTACAGTCTTCTGTATTAGTTAACTAATTTGTGTTCTACACTTTTTTTTGTGCGATTCTAAAAAATTTTTAATTTATTTCAATATTTTTTTTTTTGTTTTTTTTTCGTCTTTTAATACGACGACGACGAGTATATAAAATGACGAATGTCGGCTGACTTGATTGACTAAGTGAGTTCAACTAAACACAGATAGATAAATAGATAGAGAGATAGATATGTTTTAGGTTAATGGGCTAGCGTGTGTTTGTCACTCCAAATTCAAGGCCAAAACATACACTAAGTAAACTGTGTTATTTAATAGAAGAAAAAAAATTGTTTTAATTATACACTGCCTAAAAGCTTAAGATATATACCAAAAAAATCTACAGTAAATAGCAGAGCAGAAGATAACTATAAGAAAAAATTTTAAAAATAGAGTGGAAACTTAAATCTGCAAAAAAGAAAAAAAAATTTATTTCAATTTTTCATTGTGGTTTCTTTTTTCTTCCTCTACCTCTACTCTTCGTCGTCGTGTATTGTTTGTTTACAAAGCGAATGCGAATGCGAAAGTTTTCAATTTAAATAATGTCAATAAAATGTCATAAATATTTCACCTTAATTTAATGTGCTTTGCAAATTATGAGCATAGCATTAATTGATTTGGCGCCAGACGGTTTAATAACATGCGAAATATGAATTTAAATAGCCACAAAGTGACAAACAGTTTACAATTAACAACAACAACAACAACGGCACTATAAGCAACAGCAACATCTCAAGCAAAGAAAATTAAATCACGTATACGTCATGTGTGCCCAACTAAATTTTTATCACTTCTTAATTTACAAAAGATACAAACAAACAATGTTTAAAAAAAAAGAAAAAAAAAATTAAATTAAAAAATAACCGAAAAAAAATTAAATTAAATAACAAAAAGTGGTTCAATTATGTGTTTTGCTTGCTTGCTTGCATGTCCGTCCATTAGAAGTTGTGTATAAAAGTATATAAATATTTGTGTATGGAAAAGTATTTGGTATTTGTATCTTTTGTTGGCATATGTGTGACTTTAATGAAGGGTGCGCCAGTCACTTGAACTGCTGTCGCCAGGCTTGTTTTTTTTTTTATTTATTTATTTTTTTTTTTGTGCAAATCGATGTCATTTGCTAAAGCGGCGCCGGACACTAAATGTGGATTTTGTACTTAACCGCACCACGGCACGACACACCTCTCCGCCACATGTTTTCATTGCCGGTGTGTGATAGCTTTGAATGTTTGCCTTCCCCTACCCCGTCTACCCCGTCTGTATGAACTGTATGAAGTTAATATTTTGATTTCATATACAAACTTAACTTAACATTTTAGTTAAGACACTTTTGCAAATATTTGCTAATTAATAATTAATAATTTTGCACCCATAGACAGAGAGACAGACAGACAGACAAACAGGCAAAGAGACAAGTCAAGCCAAGCCAAGCCGAGCCAACTTTTTCGGACTTGTTTTAACGGCAGAGAACTGGAACAAAGGTGTTTCATTTGGAGTACTTTGTAATGAGGTGCTGTTTTTGCTATATTTCTGTTTTTAATAAATGTAAACAATTGAGTTTATTTACAAAAAGCAAAAAAGAAGTAAACAATTACAGACAGAAAAAAAAAAAAATAAAAGATGCATTTATTTTTTGCTTATTTGGCAATGAATTAAAATGAAACGATCTACTGGCGCCATTCCGTGACGCTGATTTAAAAGTGGCAAAATGCCTCTCATGTTTGTTTGCAAATTTTTATATACTTACGTCAACAATGAAAACTGCTTTATTTACGTGTAGTACAATTTTTCTTCTTTAATATTTAATAACGAACGCTCTATACTACATACATGCATACATATGTGTATAGATTTACATTTGTATATTATACACTCCTTGTATCTGCAAAGAAACTGCCTGGTTAACCGTAGCACACTTGCATGTACCTGCCTTCATTTGTTTGTAAAATTGTTAGACGTCCTTAAAATGAAACTACAAAAGTTCAACGGCGCCAGTTAGCTGTAAAATGACTAGTCAAGCACACTTACAAGAATTCCTACTGCATTCAAATATCATTAAAGGAAATGTCGGTAAACAAAGGCGTTTATAGTGGAGCCGACTATGAAAGTGGGTGGCGCCGCTTAATGCAAAATGAATTGGGTCGCCGTTAATTTTTTTTTTTGGTTTTATAGTTCAAGTTTATATTTTTAATCTTTATTTTTTTTATACTACTAATTTATTTTTATGTATAAAAAAAGTAGATAATTTAAATTTATCTTAATTACCTCATTTACCACAAAAAATTTTTTTCAGTTCTCATTACCACCTGTGACCCATTATTACCTTTGAAATTTCTTAAAAATTCGTAGCACACTTTTCCTATTTTTAACCCATACAAAATGATGTTGGTCAGTTTCTTTAATGATTTCAAAATATTTTCATAAAATAAATTAAGCATTCACGGCATGGCATCTTCTTTGAGATACATTTTAGTTCTTTGTAATTATTAATATAAGTATATAATATTTTTTCTGATTTGTGTTTTGTTTTAACGAACTCAGAATTTAATAATTTATATATATAGACGTTTATTTATTTATTAATTTTTTTTTGCTGTGCTTTTGCACATCAATAGTGGCGCTAGATCATCTTTAAATATAGAATTTTTTATCGGTGTATCGTACGTTTAACCTACACCCAAAAAAATTAATGAAATAAACATAAAAGCAATAAAAATTATTTTTTATTTAACTTAATAAAATAATAAAAAAAAACTTCATATATAAAGTCACATGAAATTGTGATAGCTAATATAATAAATGGTTTATGCAACGAAATTAAATTAATATAAAGATAAACAACCAAAAAACTAACTAAAAACAAATAATGAAAGTAAAGATTAATAAAATGACATAAAAATGTCAATTAAGAATAAATAAATAATTTTTTTTTTTAAACAATAAAACAAAAAATATTATATAATTGCAAAGATTAAATTTTTTAAAGATTTTTACATAAGATAAATTAATTAATATACAAAAATTTTAATTGTTTTTTAGTGACCAAACTTCAAATAGTTTTTTTTAAAAAGACAGACTATTCTTAATTTGAATTTTTTTAATTATTTTAATTTTTAACGCACATAAATTCAAATTTGTAAAATTTTTTATATATTTATATCTTTATATTATTTGTTTGTTTTTTTTTTAAATAAATTTTGATAACTTTGATAATGACTGTAGAATACATTATTTGAGATTATTGAAAAAAAACACATTTTTTTAAAAGAATATTAATATAAAATAAATTTAATAATAAAACACATTTCTTTTAAAAAATATTAATATAAAATAAATAAATTTAATAATAAAATGCATTTTTGGACTTTT